CACATAAACGAGTCTTGAAATTCTTTTCTGTCTTCAAGTAATAAATCTTGGTGTGTACTCAGTCCAGGAAATTGAGGGAAAGTCCTTAACTGATTCAGGTGAGAGTGGAGCTGGGTTTCCTATGTTTCCTTTGCTATGCCTACTAACTTAGTACTGACAAAAACTACCTATTGATTGTCAAGCTATTTAAATAATTATTTAGAATTTACTGTAGATTTAAATATGCTTGCAAAAGGTGAACTACCCAGATCACAGAGACTCCTGACATCATGGACAATATGCAGACCCATACATAAACACAGATCTCCAAATGCTCATCTTGGGGCCTCACATTGCACATACAGTGGAAGTGGTGAAAAAGCTGCAAATGGAAGGAACATCCCACTAGTCCATTGCTGTAAAACATGATAGTAATGATACTTTCCAGTCCACTTACAGTATTTGTACCAAAGCAAACTCAACAAAGCAAAGCACAATGTTTCTAACTGATAAAGTACTACATTTCTACCAGCTCACAAGCTCAAAGTGTAATATTCACTCAATGTTCCCAAAAGAAGAACCAAATGGTTCTAGTACAGAGCAAAAAAACCGTTTCCCTTAAAGAGAAATACTCTCTGGTTTTTTAAGTGCATTACCACCTATGGTCTATTAAGAGGCAAGATTATAGCTGCTCACATGCTGTAAATATTCCATAAGGAAACTGCTGTCATTTGCCTCACAATTTTCACCTCTCTGAGAGATTTTCTACAATATTATCTTGAATGAACGAGAAATTTCAGTTAACTTATTATGAGTAAAAATATCTACAACTTCCAACATATACCACATAGTAAATGTCACATTAAAATAATATTGCTGCTGTCAGGGAAACTGTGAAAGGGATTTAACACCAACACACATTTAATTAAACCAGCTTGTGCTTATTTAGCTTTGCCTTCATATCTCCACCAAGGTATTTGTGTAAACAGAGCTGCCCTAATTAAATAGCTTTTCTCCAAGCCACTCTGCACATTCCCAGCCCACTTTTGGTAGTAATTATCACACTAAGGGTGATGAATGGAGCAGGAGGCTCCAAATGAAGCACACAGAGTAGCCTGGCAGGCTTGCCTCTTTGTAAAATGCAAAAATGAATTCCGGGGCAAGCAGCATCTAATTTCTCAGACCTGTTTCCAATTTCTCATTTTGAAATTGTTATACTATTTCATTTGTTATTTTACTTCCCCATACATTGAAGACTCCATGACAATGTCTAAAAATCTAAGTAATGAAATGAGAAGAAAATAACTGAATGGAAGTAAAAATGAAAACTCCTTTCTCTGATCACAGTAGAACACAATGCAGTCATTGAAGATTAGAACTGCTAAAAGATGTAAGTCAGACTCCTAGGGAATTCCTGTAGGAGCTCTAAATTTTCCATAACCTAAGGCTGTATTACATTCCATTCTGTGGACTTATCTCTAACTCTCTAAAAAAAGAAAGACTACCTTTCATTTTTTAATTGCTAAATATACTCTTTTAAATTTTTCTACTGTTAGCTTATGGGTAAATAAGATTTTAAACTATGTAAATACAATAATAATGGTCTTCAATGTGATTGATCATGATAAGGAACCGAATACCTGTTTGAGAACTGTGTATCTAATTCTACCTGAGAACTTATTTCATTCAAGTATAATTGTGTATTGTTGTGTTTACTAACAACTGAACAAGTATGAACAATCCAGGAAACCATACTTGTAGCTGAGGTATAAAATAGGAAGTAATAAATTCCTACCGGGAATATTTTCTTGCAGAGTGTTTAAAAGACAAGTATGAGCTGCCTATTTGTACATCAACTCTTCCTGAAGAAGCTTGTAGGAGAATCTAAACTGAGACATAATGTGCACAGTTCCAAAAATATTTTGATATTCTTCTTGGATTTACACAAAATTAAACTCACTAAAGTTAAGAACTTGATTGTATACCAACCAAAGAGTACACATGGAGGGACCCATGGCTCCAGCTGCATATGTAGCAGAGGATGGTCTTGTGGAACCTTGGGTCTTTGAAGGCTCAATGTCCTAGTGTAGAGGAATACCAGTGGAGGGAGGCAGGAGTTGTTGGGTGGGTAGGGGTGCTACCTTCATAGAAGCAGGGGGTGGGGGATGGGATAGGGAGATTCAGAGGACATGACAGGGAAAGGGGGTAACATTTGAAATGTAAATAAAGAAAATATCTAAGGAAAGAAAAGAACTTGGTTGTATCAAATCAAAGAAAATCAAACAAGGTCTCTGATAAAAAAAGGAAAAATATACTTCAATGAAAAGTGATTTCAATATTTATTTATATGTACTTGAATCTTAAATTTGTTTTATTCAGAAAGAGATAAGTATGTATTAAGTCAATTTAATATAATTCAAAAGTATGATGTTTAAATAAGTATATCATCATTACACAATAAAATCAATAGTAATGAGATAAAATCTTTTTATATGTAGTATTTGTGATGTCTAGGTATCTTGTTAATCTTTTATTTGCACTAAAATTCCAGAAGACTATATGAAACTTGGAAGTATTTTGTAAATTACTTTCTAATTTTTAAATGTGTTGAAACAAAGAAAGTACATAATCCTAAACATAAACAAACTATGTTTTCTGAGATAGAGAATACAAACTAACTTCCATAAACTTTCAGACACATAACCTTGTATATATTAGTGAAGATATTTTTGATAACTAAACCTTTTCTAGACTTCTAGGGGTTGGTCTGATCAACCAAGAGTTGAACTGCTTAAAAAAGAAAAGATTACACTTGTAGGTTTGCAGTCAAAATTTGTTTTGTTCTCTACTTTGTTTATAATATATATTTTTATGTCAACCTGATGCAATCATCGTCATGGAAGCAAAAACCTCAATAGAGAATAAAACCTCACCATACTGATCTATGACTGATGTAGGGATGGCCAGCTCATAGTCAGCCAGTGGTCCTAGGTGCTACGTAAGCCAGGAAGAGCAATTTAGTAATTGTCACTCCTGCGTTTCCCCATGTCTTATGAATCAGCTTCTGCCTCTAGGTTTTTGTCCTAAATTTCCTTAGAGATGGAGCTGTAAGTAGAAATAAACTCTTTCCTTTCCAAGTTACTTTTGGTCATGGTCTTTATCACAGCAATAGAAAAGTCACTAAGACAAAATATCAGCAAACAACTTAAGAAATAAAAATACCATACAATGTAAGCTCCCAGGGATTAAACCACCAACCAAAGAGTACAGATGGAGAGACCCATGGCTCCAGCTGCATGTGTAGCAGGGGATTGCCTTATTTGGCATTAATGGGAGGAGAGACCCTTGGCCTGTGGTGGCTCAATGACCCAAAGTAGGGGAATGCTAGGGTGCTGAAGCAGAAGTTGGTGGGTGTACCCTCATAGAAGCAAGGGAGAAGGGGAGGAAATGGGGGATTATGGAGGAAAAACTGGGAAGAAAAAAACTAAACAAACAAACAAACAAACAAATAAAAGAAAACCAATGTAGATGGTATTTGCTCTTAACTTTAAATGTGACATGATATAGTTTTATGTATTCATTAAATTTTATATTGTTTTAGGTTTTCTTTAGTAAAATAGTTTCCATGACTTTCAGAATCTCTAAATGTCAATTTCAGTTGAGAACTTGAGACTATTTTAATCCCTTTTTAATACCAGCAAGAGATACTTTATCTCTCTTTCCTTTCTGTACTTATTTCCCTTTCTGCACTCATTTCCTTTCTTCTAGTTTTCAAACATAATTCTAGCCTCTTTCTGTCTTTCTAACAGCACTGTAATTATGTTTAGATCCACATTATAAACCAAGTTAATTTTTCTATTTTAATAACTTGAATTTAGTTATATCTGAAGGGTATTTTTTTCTGTTTAAGATACTTATTCATAGGCTCTAAGGATTAAGACAGGAGAATCTTTAAGGAACCTTTTTTTTGTCGATTACATGTACACATAGGCTATGATATTTCATTTAATACAAGTATTTATTTGTGTTTATTAAATTTGAGCATGTACATTATCAAATTCTTGTTGATTTTTCCTAAAAGGACTTTTATAATTATCATTTTCATCCTCATTTTGAGGTGTTACCTTATGGACATTTCCAGGATTGATGCATGTAATCCTCCATGAAGACTTAGGAATGATTAGAACTGCAATATGGCAAAATCATGCCATTTTAATGATTTTAATCTTAATTTAATATTATGACTAAAAATAATTTTAACACATATAAGAAGAGAAAAGTTAAATATGGTTAAACCCGGGTGTCAAATATCCTAGATAGGTCACTGTTAATTATTCTACTACTAATAACTTCATTTGAGTGAAACAATATCTGGAAGAAAAACTTGTGGCTTTCTTTTCTAGATAATTGTAAGTTTCAAACTCAAAAAAAATCCCCCAAATGAGCAATATTTAATTTATTAATAAAACAAAAAGATTTGAAAGCTAAGCAAGGTGAAGTTTGAGTTACATCTGTATTTGCAATACCCCTCATTTGTTCATTTGGGAAACTGAGGCAGAAGTATAAACTGTAAGTTTGGAATCAGTATGCTTCACATAGAATTTAAGGTAAGTCTGGGTTGCAGACTGAGACTATGTCTCAAAAAAAGTAACAATGATAATATTATTATAAGTTAAGAATTGAATATTTCAAAGATGGTGTTGTATATGTTTGAGCCTAAGTACAATAAAAATATCTGCTAGATATCTGATATAAACTAATTTTTCTTTTGACTTGTTAATTTGGAAGCAAATGTTCAATTTGTTAAAATTTTCATACACTGTATTTTCATCATATTATTTTTCCTCCCCAGTTCCTTGTCTTATGTCCAAACTTTTAACCTGCTCTTATAGATTAAAAAGAGTTGCTAAAATGCAGTAAGTAAAGAACTATCTGGGAACTATGTATAGTCCCTGCTTTCCACTCTTCTCATAACAATTGATATTAATGAGTAAATACAGAGTGGCTGCCAGGTAACCTACCCATGGGAGTGCCAACGCCATAGCCTTTGGAGTCTATAAGGCCGCCAATCTGCGTGAGGTTACAGTTCCGCTGGGTAACAAACTCGATGGTTGTTGACTCCATTAAGAAAGCATAATCCGAGGTGAGGACTCGTTGGATCCCTTCCTCATTGCTTTTGACAAGCACAGACTGTCTCCTGCTGCTCATAAACGCCCACATTTTATCATACGTTGAGATTTTTGATTTCTGGAGGAAAGTAAGATAAGTTTAAAAGATAATAAAATTATATCTTAGGCTCTACAGAATCCTACATTTAGATACAGTAGACTACAGTGAGTTTTCTCATGCTATCCTAAAATTGTCACATACACACACACACACAAGAATCAAGATTTAAAAAAAAATGTTCCTAGTAATTCATCACATTTCTGGATATACTACAATTCAACATATACATCGAACATGTCTTACAGTTTAAAAATTCATACTAATAAATTGTAGAAAATGATAGTTATTAGAAAAACAAATGAGCTTAATAGGGAGTCTTTACTGTATTGTACATAAGACTCCTGTGGGTATCATTTTCTTTTAGCATTACTTAACATCAAATTTAGAAATGACAGCTACTGGACTCAGATTGACACAGTCAGACAACAACCAATTTTTGTTGTAATTTACCAATTTACTGAGTCTATCACAGACATCAAATAAATTCCCAAGTATATAAATCTATAGTTGAAGAGACCAGGGTATTTTATTGCAGATAAAAAAGTACAAATACAAATAGCAGTATTTCCACTGAGACATGACACAGTCACCAGAGATGTTCCTTAAGTCTATACAAAAAGAAAGAAAAATCTGTCATTCCAGGTTTTTGACTAACTAGAAACTCACGGACCACTCAAAATGAATAAATTTTGAGCAATAGCAAATTCTTAATACAGGTTTACCAGAACTTCATTTAAAAGGAAAGAAATGAGTATTGTTTAGAGGTTCTGGAAGAACATATAAGCTACCAAGCTTCTCACCTGCTTGTTCAATGCACCTGCAGAACCTCACTTTATGTATCCCCTCCCTACATAGGAATGCTAAGAGAATGATGTCCGTGTGGACACAAGGAATCTAAACTTTACAGTTTTATTTTCAAGAAGAAATATAAATTCATAGCATTAAAAGTAAGAAAAAAAGAGTATTTAAGATTATGCTGTAATTTTATGAAGTCATGAATCCAATGGTCAAACCACATCCATTTGTCGCTCAAATAAAGATCATGAAGAGAGCAAGAACACAGGAGTTTGCTTTCTACCTTCATGACTTTGGTTCCAATTTTTTTTCCACTTAAACCTGAATAAAATAAAAACTAGAGTTGATATGTAGGTGGAAGGAAGTTTGTATAAAATAAAACTGACATCAGTTTTGATTTACTGAATATGATAGAAAACACAGAAACAAAATCCTACAATTGGATTGTACTGAGTTTTCAGAAGTATAAGTGTATATTTAGTGTCTGAAGCCTTATTAAGTAATTTCTTTAAAGAATAAAGAGGAACTGGAGAGATGTCTTAGTATTTTAGAAAATTTGCTTTTACAGAGGAACTGGACTTGATTCCAGCTCTTGGGGTGGCTTGCAATCCCCTTTAGTTCTATTTCCAAGGTATTTGAAGTTGCCTTCTGACCTCTGTGTACACTTCTCACACACATGGTGCACATAAATACATAGAAAAAATCACTTTAACACATAAAAATCAAATAAATAAGTATAAACTTTTCATTTTTTTTAATAAGTTGGAGGCTGGAATGATTTCTTAGTGGGTAAGAGCATTGGCTGCTATCCTAGAGGACTAATGTTTTATCTCTAGCATGAAGAGGGCAGCTCAAAATTGTTTTCAATTCTAATTGCATAGGGAGACAATGTCTTTTTCTGACATCTGGCAGCAGTGTGTTCATGTGGTGTACATACATGTGTACAGGCAAAACAGTCATACATAAACAATAAAACATTGATACTTTTAAAATAGTAAAGATTGTTTCTGATTGTAACACATACATGCTCCATGAGGCCAAAGCCAATCAATACAATTAGAACATATACAAAATGACAATTTGATCAATATTAGGAATAAAATTGATTGAATTTTTATTTGTTTCAGTTATCTGACTATTAGCAACCTATTTTAATATTTTTTTTAATTTCCTAAAATATTTACACTTTGATGAATTAGCTGTAAATAAACTTAAAGATTAGTATTTTGTCTGAAAGCAAAGGGAGAATAATTATTTTACTCACACGCAAAGAGCAGGGCTATATTTTTCTCCTTTAATTATGTCACATAAACCATTTAAGTCTAAAGAAAGAAAACTATATTTGGGAATATTACATAGATGTTTCTATACTTATATTTTATAATATCTTATATAGTAAATACAAGGAACTTATATAGTAAATATGAGGAACTGATTGAGGGTTGACCCCTACATGCCAGGAAAATAAACCTCTTGCTTTTGCATCAATGTGTATCTCTGTGTCTCACTTAGGAAAGTCTAGAAGTACCACCGACCAAAGGTCAGAGTCTTACAATCTTTTGTTTTGTTTTGTTTGTTTGTTTGTTTTTTTGAGACAGGGTTTCTCTGTATACCCCAGGCTGTCCTGGAACTCACTCTGTAGACCAGGCTAGCCTCAAACTCAGAAATCCACCTGCCTCTGCCTCCAAAGTACTGGGATTAAAGCCATGCACCACCACCGCCCGGCTAAAGGTCTTACATTCTTACAAAAGCAAAATGTAAATGTGTGGAGAAGTCACATTAATTATTTTCATTCTTAGAGTAAATGTAAGACCCTAATTTTAAGAAGTACGAATGTCTTCAAGTCACTACTATGCATGGATTAGGGTAGGTCAATCATTTAATGTTTCTTTGGAATCTCACTACCTGTTTTGCCATTTAATATTATTGAAAGACATGGTTCCTACTTCTGGTACAGGGCCAGCTAACATGGGCCTTCTCAAGTGTAGATGGCTGTCACAGGCATAAGGCTTATTTATATAATAATGTGTATATTTTGCATTCCTCCTTTAAGGAATGTCCTCTCTCCTCCACCCCCTTAACATAAATGACTCCAGAAGTCCAGCGGGAAAAGGTGAGGATGATATTTTAGCAAAATGGTAAATGCTGGGATAACCCTTAAGGCTGTGGAAAAAGAACTCATAAAAACATGAGTTTGAAAATATATAATTCTCAGCTATGCAAAACATAAGGATAAAATATGAATTATATGAGATGCTCCATGAATCTAAAGGATCAAAGGCATTAATGAGCCAGCAGGTCAGAAAGACACAGTGGAAGGCAGATTCCTGAATGTAAGGTCAGCCTGAGACACAACAAGGGCCCAGGTGTGGTAGAAATGATAATTTTAGAACATTGTCCCACACAACTAGTTTAGCTTAACATCTGTGCTTAACAGAAGCAGGCAGGTCTCTGAGTTCTTTTTCAATGTTCAAAGAAAATGTGTGCTTGCTGTTTGCAATGAATTGAGGGCCTCGGGTCACAGGACACTGATTCTTAGAATAATAAAATGGAAACCTGAAGTAAAAGATTGGATTGATATGTAAAAGACTAGTCCTAAGACACAGGGGATGAGCTATCCAGAGAATCTTTTTGAATAGCAAGAGAGAACCACTTAAAAAACCGTCTCAAGCAGAGTAATAAGAGAGATCTCAAGAGACAGGGATCTACAGAAAAAGCAGATCAGAGAGAGAAAAAAGAGGAACAAAGAGAAAACAGGCTACAAAGATGTCTCCAGCAGAACATAGGTTGACAACTATGACGACCCATGTTTGCTTTATTTTATGACTCTCAGATTCCCCTTCCTCAGAACCCCTCTCCATCTAGATATAAAGTGGTGCATAAAAAAAAATTTAAAAAAAATAAAAAGTAAAAAAGAAAGAAAGAGAGGGAGAGATGGTTAAAAGCCATCATTACCCTGGTGGACTCACATATGTGTCTGTGTTTTTATCTGTTTGTGGCTATGTGTTTCTATGTTTTATATCTGTGTATGTATGTGTTTGAAATCATTCAGCTATTCTAGGACATTTTAGACCAATACAACACACTAGGAAATGACTATTTTAAAATTTCAGTGATAGCTATTCTTTGACTTGTGGTCATTTACAAATTGCATTTTCTATCAGCTAATCTCAGTAAAATGTAATCATATTTGTATGATCTACATTAATCTTCCCCAGAAATGTCATATGAATCAAGCCAAATTTGTGAAATTATAGCCTACAAAGTTGATCAAATTGTATTGCTTTCTATATAAAAGTGTAAAGAATGATTAATTCTGAATATCTTTTGAGGATTCTATTATTTTAATGATGGAGGTGGTATTATTGCTTTAGAAACAAAAGTCTTACATGAGTTGTAGTCAAGTCTGACATTTAAAAGATATTTATAAACTATTGGAAAGTATATACAAACTCTTATGCTGAATTTAAAACTGCTTCTTTTGAAATTAATATGACCACTCTTGAGTAAGTGGTTATTTTAAGTAACATATAGAAATTCAGAAGGGATATACTTGGTCTGATGTAATTATCACTCCTTCCATCTTAATGAATATGTAGCTGCTTAATCTCTTCCTTTCAGTTTATATTGTCAAATATACTTGCCAGATTCACAATCTTACTATGACGATGAAATAGGACACCTTGTACATAGGCACATTATGGAATGGTAGAGATTTCTTTTAGTTTTTATAATGTTTTAAAAATGAGGCAAGTAATATCAAATATTGTGTGAACATAGCCTACTGCTGTGAACAAGAAAAACATGGAACTGGAAAGTGGAAGATTGTAAGTAAGTGGATTTACACATGACACACTCCTGATATTGGGAAATTTTATGTTTTCCTCTCAAAATAGAATTCAATAAAATTCTACTTTAGTCAACTAAAGACTGAATACCAGTGACTACTGCATTCTACCCACAAAAGACCTAAGCCTATTCTCAGGAAGGGAAGTGAGAATGCACTATTAGAAACATACTGAAGCCAGAAGGAGCATATTGAGAAGACTATCAAAGATGAAGACCGTCTGCCACTATTATCTATCTCACTTCTTGGAAATCCTGCAGAAAGAACATATATACCCTCATTTGTTTTTTGGATTTTAGCTGTTCTTACTGGGGGAGATGAAATTGCAAATAACATTTGATTTGTATATCTCTCAGTGCTAAGAATATTGAACACT